CTCTCTCTCTCTCTCTCTCTCTCTCTCTCTCTCTCTCCCCAGTGGGATGTCCTGCACAGTTTAAATAGGGGTTCTGATTCGGAGTCGCCCTCATCCTCTGACGAACTGCCATCTTTCTCATGGCCTCCACTTTCATCCTCCTTGCCACCGCCATCAGTCCCATCGCTGCCACCACTCCCGTCACGACCGTCGCCACTGCCACCATTTTCAACCCCCAAACCTGCAGTACATGTCTTGTGTCCGGGCCTGTAGCCCCTGTCCGGTGGGGTCTGTTCCCTTGGTGAGTGTTCATTGTCATCATGGAGTTTCTCTTCATGGCAGCATGATTAGAGCACTCATGACAGTGTGCCCAACAAGGTCATCACACGCTACCTCGCAGTCTTCGGCCCAAGGGGAGTTCTGGATGATGTAATTTCCTGCATGAATATTTATTATTATCATCGTGTTCAAAGCCGTGTGATTAGATCACTCGGGAAATTGTACCCAAGAGGGTCGTCATTGGCTACCTCAGAGTCTTCTTCTGGAAGTGAGTTCTGTCAGATGTAACTCTTCGTATGTGTACATTATTATCATTTTCTCTTGTAGTTGATCCCCTAGAAAGTAACAGTATTTTCAACAAGTGCTGCTTGCCTGAGTGAGAATGGGCTTAGAAGTTAGAATCCAAAAAGCATTTGGCTTGGTTCCAATTCCTTTTTGCATGTGTCCCAGGCTAAGGCCTTGCCGTTGCCTTGCAGACAAAGTCTTGCTGCAAATTCCCCTTGTGAAGGTATATTTTCAAATGCAAAATAAGTACCTTAGGCTATGCTCACACAAGGATTTCCCTGCGTGTATCGACCATATATGTGGCCAGAGTCATTCAGAAAGGTCCCATTAACTGTTGCTGTCTTTTTTCTTTTGGGCATGGGGGTGGACGCATTAGCGGTGCCATCTTCTGAAGGGGCAATGGCGCCCATGGTGACGCTGTTCTCTTGTTCCCCTCCACGCTCCTCTCATCTAACTGCGTTTCTTTTTTTGTCTTCTTTTTTTTCTTTTCTTTTCTTCATCTACACACGGGTAAAGTTTCTGTTTAATGAATGTATGCCATTGTACGGGGCTCTGCTAATTCCTGTGTTCCTTGTCTGCGAACTACATGCTGTTGTTGGGTGTCACATGCAGCTTGTGGCCATTGATCATATTGTTTGCGTTGCCGCCAATTCATTTGTCATGAGCGACTCGAGGAGCCAGCCGGCAGCATTAATATCTGGGCAGCGCATGTACCGAGGAACAGGTGCAGCGGAGGAAACACGGCTCCAGCGACAGGTGTCATCTCTCCGGCCCAACTGGAGAAACTTTGGATCGTTGCTGTTCGAGAACGAGGCAATAGAATGGTCCTCACTGGAGCGCTGTGTGCGGCGGTCAATTAAGAGCACTCCGCCACCACTTATCCGACCTGGACACCTGAGTGTGTACCGCCATCCGCGGACGCCGGGGTGCATGTGCTACAAAGGAAATGCAGACAATGACAGTGCTGGGAACCAGGTTGCGCAGCAGGCTCGACACCGCCAGGTCGATAACAACAGAGATGATGAGTATGAACCTGATGTGCTCCCTAATAAGGGGGAGGAGTCGTCTCCCCTTTCACCTGACAGAAATACTGATGCAGGGGATGGTGAGGAGGCGTATGACAGTGAGGAGGAGGAGGGTGAGATCAACGACAATGAAAATGGTGGCGAGAACGAGGAGAGATGACGACATGGTTTTTGACTACCTGATTATGGCACAGCCGAAGGCAGTTCATTTATAGCCCTGAGTGGGTAATGGTCTGAACACCCAGTATTGCTGTATTGTGCTTTCCCGCACATGCATGTAGACGTACCCAGACAGAGACATACGAGGAGGGGGGGGAGGGGGTATGTTTGTGTGTGCACTCATATGCTTGCACAGACTTACATCTTTGTATGGCCATTTGGGGTTTCTTTCGGCTGGCCAGAGTCGTGACCAACGCCCAGAGAATATGTCGAGGGGGGCATAGCACTTCGTGTGTCCACTTACGCACTGCGCACCGTAACCAATCAGTACCCTTGCCAACGAGGAATTTCATGCAACAGAACGGGGTTCAAAGGGGCGCCATAAACCACGCGCCTGGACCTGACAGATAAAAATCGATCTGGAAAAGGTCATTGCATATTCTTCAGTAACTCCAATGGATTTTGTCCCTTTTGGCATGTTTAGTTGGGTGATGAGTGAGTTTAGGTGAGAGAAAAGTATCGCAACTGTTTTCTACCATCTGTTTTCTGACTTTCACTGCAAGTTTGGTGGCTTCTCAATTTTGTCAATCTATTGAACAGCAGTGTTCGGCTCTTCACAGGGCGCACAAGAGGGGGGGGAATTAGCTGATGCCACACTGCGCACAAGGGCAGTGCCTCAGGCAACAGCACGAGTAGCTGAAATGACGACCCCGAGTCAGCCCCTACAGGTAACAATTCCCTAAAATGGCTCAAGGCTTACATCGAACAAATCCAAAAGGGAAAGAGAGCATCATTTTGACATCCAAACCGCATGCATGAAGCAATTGAAACACAGAAAAAGGGGGTAGTGAAGGCATTCTCACCTCGTCCAACCAGGTTGACGAGCTGAAAAAACCTGAAGAACTGTCGGAATATAGCACTTTCAGATAGAGGAAAAACACATCAGGGAACAGGGCCAGAATGATCAAGGCAAATAATTATTCTATTGGATGACTTGTTCCGGGATCTGCATCCCAACGAGAGCAACAAGAAGAGGGACACCAATGGGCCTAGCTCAGTTAGTACCATGGTTATGCTGGACCTGGACACCGGACCAGTCCAGACGTCTGCCCGAACCTGTGTCTGCTCTGGACCGTCCGGATTGAAAAAAAAACTTTGGAAACAAAAAAACGTTTTTATTTTTTTTCCTTGGATTGGCCTACAAATTTCGAGATGGTCCTCACCTTCCTTTCTTTGTAACGGACACCCGGCCCGACTCCCGGCTTTGTAAAAAAACAAAGAATTCAACGTTAAAAATATGTATATACTCGTTTGTTGTCCTCTTCTCTCTCTCTGCCTACGGTTTTACCGGGCAGTTCTGTTTGTGACGATATATTATATAATATATAAAACAGAGAAAATATATGACGATATTCATATATTGTATATATATTTATTTTTGTATTGTGATGCTGCATAACGTATCTTTTGTTATTTTTTCAATTTAAGTCGGGCTTTTTTGTGGGGGTGGGGTGCGGGGATGGATCCAGACAATCTGGACCCGACACCAGACCCAGAACGTTTGCACTGTGGTCCGGACGTCTGTATCGTAACCATGGTTAGTACACACGTGAACTGTCGGAATAGAGACCCAAGTTGGGACCCAGATGCAATCTTTTCTTTTTTTCTCGAACTTTGGAAAATTTTGGAGCCCAATGTTCGAACTGGGGGTGAAGGCTCCATCTATTGGTGGAGAGAAGCACCTGCTGGAAATCGGGTCCAGCATCCCTGATGCATTCAATGGAATCTGAGAATCAGTGCATCAAGAGGGGAGATAGGGCTGGGCAGCATAGATTGCCGTGTTGCCAGGGGATTGACTGCCCGGCCCATCGAGCAGGGAAAGGGAAGTGCCTCTTCAGCTTTGCTGCAAGCTGCAAGACGCCTGACTATCCTTGGTAAAAAGCAGGTCCTGTCACAGCAACACTCACTGTCCCCCACATGCCACTGCGGTCCCCTATTGAGAGGGGAGGGGGGGGAGGGGGGAGGGGAAATCCGGTGCCGGACGCATGGGGATTGACGTGTGAATCTGGGTCCAATCATGGAATGAGAGATGGTAATCACGGGTGAGTTCCCCATGTTCTTGCCCTGTCCTCCTTTCCATACCACCTCCGCAAGCAATCAACCTGACAGTTGGGAGTCATGTAATACTTGGAGCGTAAGTGTGTGGGATTGCCAGCGTCCGTGTAGTGGTGTGTGTGGTGTGTGTTGAGTTTGGACACTACAGCCTTGCAGGGGTGGGGCGGATATCAGGGCCAGTATAGTTCCACTTTTGACACCGTGTCCTGGCTGAGTGGTTACGGTACTTTGGTCTTGAGGCTGAGGTCGCCGGTCCGTGCTGGCACGGAGGAGGGTAGTTGTTGAAGAAGTGTTTGACTGTGTTATGGATGTCTGTTTTTGTGTGGAGAAATGTGAGCTTTTCTGTTATTTTGTGTTCCATTGTGTTAGAATCTTTGTCTCTATTTGTTGTTTGATGGTTTCTGTGAGCTCTGGGACACCTCCCATTTCGAAAGTGCACCTTCGTCGCCAGAGGGCCCAGAGGATCGCTAGCCCTCTTATTGCAAACATGTTGGTGGCAGAAGTGCTGTCTGATTCTGGGTGGCTGATACCGCATAGTAGGGCCCTCCATTCCCAGGGCCATTTTTCCCGGGTGCCATTTTTCCCGGGTTCCATATGGCCTCCACATGCGATCCCACCAACACCACAGCCGTATGGAGGGTGAACACCGCATCATTTTCAGTGTTTTACGACTTTCCTCTGCGAGAAACTATGAGCGCATAGCTTGCACCAGAGGAGAACGAGGCCCTTCTGTTCCAGGCTGGTTCTATTAATCAGCCAGACCTTGGTTAGCAAGCAGCACTGCTCTATCTGCCACTGGAGGGATGCGTAGTTTGCTGGACGGGTTTTAGTGTCAGTGAACCGTTTTACTGGGTGTAGTGCATCCCTCTGCACGTTGAGGTGCTTCATCCATCTGTTGATCACTTCCGTGTGGAGGTCGACTCGGGGCCTGAGCACATTTAGTCGGCTATGTTGGTCGGGAGGGAGTACAGCTGCCGGATGCTGGTTCCCCTTTTGTGACTGGTCATTGGAGTCCAAGTTGCTGGGTTGAGGGGCAGCTTCAGGATCCAGTGGAAGGTAGTCCAGTGTTCTTCTTCCTTGAGCACCTGGACACGACAGACTTGTGCACTTGGGTCCAGTGGGCTTCCTCGAGGATGATCGACAAAAGTGTTGTCTGTCTGCTTGTTGAACAGGCTTACCTGTATCTTCCCATTTGGGTGAGTGTCAATGATGCTGCCCACTTTGTTTGGGTTGTGCCCCCTGGCCGTCCAGTCATTTTGGGTCCATGTCGGGCCTTTTTCGAGGATGGGTACGGCGTCGAGGGGAATCGAGAAAATATAAGTAGGTTGAGTGCCTTGGCTGGGTGGTAGCGCAGGATCCCATGTATCATTGATTCGGAGGACCCTATGTTGAGAACATAAGTAGGTCTAGTGCATCGGCTGGGTGGTGGCAGTATCTGAGTTTGCTGCGCAGCTGCTCCTGTGTCTGGTTCCCAAATATCCTTCATTCGCAGGATCCCGTGTTGAAATCATCCTTTCCATGGACGGTCTGAGCTCGTGTAAATGTGGCTGTGATGGTGCATGGTCCATCTATTGCCAAGTAGGGGTTGGGGACAGGCTTCCTCCTATTGTGGAAGCTGCTTTGTTGGTGAGAGGGAGCTTGTGCCAGATTTTTTGTAGAGAGGTCCTCCAACCACGTGGCCGGGTCCAGTGCCCTGGGGGCGTTCAGGGCCAGCCTGGTAACTTGTTCCCGGGCTAGGTTCCTCCAAGGTAATGGGGGGGGTTAAAGAGGAGGCTCTGTGTCCATTTTGTCGCCAGGGCCGTGACCAGGGTGGCAGGATAAAAGAGTCCCACACCACCCTAGGGATGACACAGTGCAACTTGTGGTTACCCCGCTACAAGAAGGCGGTGATCTGCCTTTGGATCGCACGTAGTGCCCAGATTGCTGTCTTGTACCAAAGGGAAGTGAAAACAGTGACATGTGTTGGTCTTTCCAGCGGCCTAGCTTCTGGAGGACCGGTTGGGCCAGTCATCCGTTGTTTTGGCGGGTTTGCCCATGGCTCACATGGTGACCCCATTGACCCGAATCGATGCCTGTGGGGCTAACCGTTTGGTCCGGGACTCATGTGGGGGTCTTCCACCTTGAGAGTAGAACTACCAGCTTGCCCAGTTGATCACCATGTCTGACGATGTACAAAAGAAGTGCATCAGTCGCTTGATTTCTTCCATGTTACCGGGGGACGAGTTGACCATGAGAGTGAAGTCATCTGCAAAAAATAAGGAGCAAATGGGGACTGCGTCCACTGGGAGAAACTAAGTTTTGGATGATCTTACGAGTGCTTAGGTTGGCCACCAGGGCTTCCATGATAATGACAAAGGGAAAGGTGGCTATCAGGTCCGCTTGATGGACCGGCCATTGTACTGGGATAGGTGGTGCTAGGTTGCCACTCAATCGTCGCATTGTGGTGCGGGATGGTAATCCAGCGCTGGAATATTGGATCGAAGTTCATTTTTTGCAGGCACTTGTTTAGAAATTAACATTCCACAAGATCGTAACCTTCTCAAAATCTGTAAAGATGAAGGCTTTTTTTTTTTTTTTTTTTTTTTAACGAACAACCCCAGGGCACAGCTCGAGATGCTGGTAGGAGCAGACACCTCAAGCTGTCCCGGGGAGGCTCCATCTGTTGGTGGAGAGCTGCACCTGCTAGGAAGTGGGCTCAGCGTCTTCTGTTAGAATTGCATAGAACAGATTCAAAGTTTCTTGGTACGAATGGGGGGAGCGCCCTCTGGGATGAAATCAGTCTGTAGGTACAGGAATTGGAAATCTTGTAGGGGTTTCCTGTTCTATGTGTGTGTGGCGCTCCTCTAGGGTTTCCAAAGGATGTCCCGTTCGGCATCCACTTCACCGAACAGCTCCTGGGGGTCTTGCCACGTTTGTAAATAGGAGTCCAAGATGGTCCCTTTGGCCTGTAATTCCCTCTCATTTTTGTAATGTTGTTTCACAGCCTTGAAAGCTTTGTGTGTTCGTGATCCGAGTACCTCCTCAATTGTTTATTGGGCATTTTTCTGGTAGAATTGGTGGTCCTTCCTTTCAAAGGAGCACCTTGCTGGTCAGGCGAGCATCAGAATTGTGTAGTCTTGTATATGAGAAAAGGTTAACTGCATAGGTGAACCATTGGGCAAGGAGGTGTTCATTGTTGACCAGTGGAGAGAAAGCCCACGTCCCAAGGTATGTGGCACAGGAGGTTACAGAATGGAAGGCCACGTCCCACCACCGCCAAGTCTGGGCTAGCATTGGGCATGCCAAGCGGCAGCGTTCAGTGTTGCCGATGTTGGGGTTGATGCTCTGCCGCAGTAGGAACAGATGGGGAACAACGGGCCTTTCGGTTCCAAGTCAGTTCTAGACATAGCCAGTCCGGCGCGGGGAGGCATTGGTGCAGGTTCTGCCATTGCAGCGATCGAAGGTTGGTGGGCATGATCTTGGCATAGGAGGGTCAGGGCATATTCTCCACTTGGGGCGGATCAATGGGCAAATCTCGAGCCCATCTCGGAGCAATGGTGGGATCGATTGGTACTTGTGGCTTCGTTTCTCTAAACCCTCTATTGATTGTGTAGTGTAATCCCATATGTGCGTTGGATGTTAATTCGCCCATCCCCACTCATTCGGAAGAAACGGCAAGGGCACATTTGG